ACACACACACACACACACACACACACACACACACACACACACACACACACACACACACACACGCGCGCGCGCGCGCGCGCGCTACATGCAACCTACATGCACACACATATCAGGAGTTAATGAAGACGAAATGAATTTGTCTTCATTAGCTCCTGACACATATGCAACTTAAACCTACAAACCATTCATACATTCATACATTCATACACACATGCAGACGGGTCGCGCGGCAGGCACACGATTCAGGTTCGCGATGGGCAAAGGTCTAAATAGTTTTCGGTTTACGGCGCTTGCTCATGCTGGCAGAGCGAGCTCAGAATAGCAAGCGGTCTCAGACGGCTGTAGGCGGGTTGGCCGCGTATGCTAACTAATGGAGGTGAGAGGGTGTGATCGGACACACTCAGCTGAGCAGCGGCAACTCGCTGTGTGTGATACACTTGCTAACTGCCACGAAAGAGGTTGCTGCGCGCGTCCGCCTTTAGTGTCGCTGCCCTAGCCGCCACGGGAGATAGAAGATAGAGCAGCAGCAACACAGACCCAGACACGACATAACACAGACGCGAGAAGCTGCGAATTACGTAGCTGCAGAGTTGTTGAACTGGCTGCTCTGCTTAGCTGACATGGTTTGAGTCGGAGTATAGGAACTGCAATCTCTGAGGTACAATACTACGCTCTCTGCTCGTGCATAGTGTCTTAAATTGGCTACGTCACGAATTTTCTATGGTAAAATTTGTCAAATTTTTGTTGTCATTTTTTTTTACATTAAAAGTAAGAACTAACGGGACAAACGTATCGTCAAATTCTTACCTGATAAGATTGTTTCTCAACTAGTTAAAAATCCAAAAAACCTGGACGATTTGATATTGTGTTCCTACCATTAATTGCTTGCTATGGGCTATGTATGTGTCACGAGTGTATGTTCACATCGAACAATATAGTAAAATAGGAAGTATAATGCAGCAATTTAACCATAAAAAGTGAACAGAATTACTTATATTTTGTGAAAAAGCGACAGGAAGTATAATGCAGCAATTTAACCATAAAAAGTGAACAGAATTACTTATATTTTGTGAAAAAGTGGAAATATTTTTTTAGTATTTACGGTGACGTAATCACTTTAATGATGGAATACGTCGGTGTAGACATGAGCTTCCTCTGTAGTTTCTCTTCTCGTCTTCCCCTACAAGACAGAGAAGAACATCACACGGTTGCATAGCGGGTGGATATTTCCCTTCATCTACCGTCTCTTCTCTCTCAGCAGATCTTGAGTTACTCCTCACACAAACATGCTATGTATATTAACATACCTTTCTTTAGTTTCTCTCCTCCTCTCTCACCCACAGATGTTGAGTAAAACCATGCAGGATCTTGCTCCCTTCATCTATAGTTCCTTTATTCCTCTCTTTCCCTCTCTGACAGCGCTTGAGTAAAACCATGTAAGATCTTCCCACCTTCATAGTTTCTTTCTCTCCTTCTCTCTCCGACAGGTCTTGAGTAACATCACGCGGGATCTTGCCACCTATATCTATAGCTCCTCTATTCCTCTATTTTCCTCTTTGACAGACCTCGAGTAAAACCACGCAGAATCTTGTCACCTTCATAGTTTCTCTCTCCCTCCCCCCCCTCTCTCTCTCTCTCTCTCTCTCTCTCACAAACAGATCATTAGTAGCATCATGCAGTACTTTACCACCTTCCTCTATAGCTTCTCCCCCTCCTCTCTCTCTCTCTCTTCGACGGATCTTCAGTAACATCACGCAATATGTTACCACCTTCCTCTATATCTTCTCCCTCTCTTTCTTTTTGACAGATCTTGAGTAACATCACGCAGGATCTTGAGACGATCGTGCACGAGATCAGCAAGGGGCCAGACATTGAGGAGGAGGAGAGTGGCTCACTGCTGAGGAGACTCGAGGCGAGGAAGGCCTTCCAGCAGCAGCAGAACTCTGCCTGGAGCCTCGACGAACTTGGTAAATGCAACTCGGGGCCAGGGAGGGAGAACTGTCGGTAATGGGGTAGTGATAGCTGACAGTGGTAGGGGTAGTGATAGCTGACAGTGGTAGGGGTAGTGATAGCTGACAGTGGTAGGGGTAATGCTAGCTGACAGTGGTAGGGGGAATGCTAGTTGGCATTAGTAGGGGGAATGCTAGTTGGCATTTGTAGGGGTAATGCTAGTTGACAGTAGTAGGGGGAATGCTAGTTGACAGTAATAATG